CTCTTTAACTGTCATGGACTGGTAAGAAAACAGAAATACCTTAGATATCAAGACAGAGAAGAGATAAAATGAAGCACAGTTGTTGTCACAGAGCCAAAGTCCACTGATTTTTGAAGAGTGAAGTCTGAACTGGTTATGTTTTAAAAGAATGTTTTGCACTTGCAGGATGAAAGAATCCATCCTGTCAAGATGTTCACCCAGGCAGAATCCATGGAAGCTAAGAGAGGCTGGCTATATGGCACCACCAGGTAAAAAAATTAACTCAGTTCCCCTGGAAACAATAGAAAAGCAGACCAAACGCCCCTGATAAATATGTCCTTTCCCTGAGGGGAAGAAACTGTATGGAAAAAAATGTGCATTCTGGAATTCACCTGAAACACCAGAAAAAATGCTTCAGCTTTTTTCAAACTGTCTAATTAAGAAATATTGTTGCTGTCATCATTATATAACATTTTAAAGCTCCTCATGAAGTTGCAAAACTCTTTTTTCCCTGTGGCACACTGAAACAATAGCTCTAATGATCCCAGCATCCTGTGTCAATATGCATTTGAAGGTGCCCAAAGGTCAGTGACAGAATACAATAGCCATTGTGGGGCTCTGGGAAACGACTATTGTGCCGCAGTGAGCACTTTGAGCCTCTTTAATTGGCAGTCTTGCAAATGCAAAATAACTATGTGAACTAAAGCCCTATATAACGAACAATTAATATTCCTATGTGGTAGCTTCTAATTTAAATACCTTGGCAAATTTTCATTAGAAAAACCTTTTGCAACTTAGATCGTTTAAGGCACGGAAGCAAAAATATTTGGAATGAAGGAGGTGCCTATCCTCACACCCATCTGCACATTATAAAGCAGATAAGTCTGACAGTCATACAGCTTTGTTTACAAGAACGGCTTCCACTCTACAGCGTTAGCCCTGGCATAAATTTCTACTCTTAAGCTACTATCCCTTAGAAAACAGAACTATAATGAACTTGCTGATCTGTCCTTTGTTCTACTTCAATAAAAGGAAAAACAAAGAATTGATTTTTAGCCCCTGCTGAGCAATTTACTAAACTTTTGAAACTAAGATCTGTGGTCTTGATGAGAGAAGATGACTTAATTCAATTGCTATGCCTAGTCAAAACCTGAGTCCTTCAAGTCCTGGCCTTGAGTGAGATACTTAGAGGTGACCTGATACCAAGCACGTTGTGTTTGTGGAGATTAGACAATATGTCCAGCCTCTTCTCCCTTTGAGTCTGGCTCTCAGCCTTCTGGTATCACACAGCTAGACCCTCTGCTGACGCTGCTCAGAGCATTGCAAGCAAAAGAGGGATTGTCAGGCACTGGTAATTTACTGTGATGTCTCTCATGAGAAACAGATTGGGTTTGAACCTTCTGTGATCAGCAGTTCAATGAAACCACTACATACCTTCCTCTGTCTGTAAAATGGCACTAAGTTGATACTCCTCCTTGTGTTGTGGGAATTCCTTAATGACTCTAGTGTTACAAAGCTCTACATTTCTTTGGGAGCAACCAGCCCTTTTCCATGGCTTTAAGATATAAAAAAAAAATAAAAAAAAGGGAATGGGATATTATTATGCAGTCCCAGTAGTGATTTATTGCAAATGTCCAAGTATTATGAATTCATTTAATATTTAGTGTAATAGCAGCCATCCTTCACAAGAAATTAATATTTATATGTCTAGACAGTCCTTCAGCAGTTTCACTGTAAATCAATGAAGCATTAATGGGCATAAATGCTGTAGAGAAATCTACACCAATTGTTACAGACTGTGTTGNCAAAAAAAGACAGTATAAACATTAACAGCACTGCCAATAGTGTGATACTTGCTTCACCTTTTTGTCTACCTGGGTGCAACTCCCAGAAGGGTCTGCACTGTCAGGCAGCAGAATAGGCAATTAATTCCTTAAACAGTGAGTGAGCTGCAAGCAATCAGAGCCCTTTAATGCACCTCTTGGTGCACTGGGTTTGATCAGTAACCTGGATGTGGCAAGTGCTGGAGCTGCAAGCCAACCTCTATAGGAAAAGTAGCGGTGCTCTGCTGCCTGCATGAGCCTCATTTTGAATGCCGTAAATATTAAGGAATGTGCTACTTCTTCCAACCTTTCAGTGCTCTGTTTCTGTGTGCACAGATGGGCGTTGGGAGACAGAAAGCCAAGTACAGCTAAGTGTACTGAAATGCTTTGCAGCTTTTAAAAATTTCTTCCAGCATCTGAATCTGTTTATCTAACCTTTTTTTCCCTCTCCTCCCTTTTCTTTCTCAGAGAATTGCTCCTACTGTGCAGATGAAATGCACCAAAATGCAAACAAGCAAAATATGGAGCTGAGTGACGTTGAATGCAAGTTGCTCCATTGCCAGATGTGAAAAGAACAAGTGGTTTGAAAACCGTAATTTGTTTTAAAAAAAATATAATTTGGTACTTCTGAGAAATTTGATGATTTAATGAGCACAGATGGATGTGGGATGAATTTCTAGCAGACAAGTGTTTAATGTATCTGCTCAGATTATTCCAGGACTAAGCATTATCCTTCCTAGTGCATGAAGGTAATTAATAATTCCCATTATGGACATGAAAAGACCCATATGATCAGTTAAGGAATGCAGATACACCAATGATATGGAATTTAATTCATAAATCAATTAAAGAATCTTGCCTGCTGTGTATAATTATGGTTACTTCAATTATAGCTTATTTTCAGATTTAAGACTCAGGAATCCAAATACGTAAAATCAAAGTTCCTTATCACCATATACTACAGCTGGAAGCATTTACTCAGTTTTAGCACTCTAAATCTATTTGCTCCTGATTCCAGCACAGCTAAGACAATGCAGGTAACCTTTGTCTCGCTGGTTCTATTCTGCCACTTAAAATAGTCATCAGTTAAATGTTTCCCTATCTGGACCACCCTGAGGTGGACTGAGAAATTTGTAAGGTATGGGACTAGTCCTGGCATATTAAATAATGTGTCTGAAGTTCTCTACAATAAAGCTTTGAGAGCAGCATATTAACATCCAGCTCTGGAGATGTCAGGGGCTGTACTCCCCAGCTTCTCTTCATGGTTACAGTTAACTAAAGGTGCAGCAGCCCACTGATTTAGTTACATTCGTGCTAAATCTGGTTTATATTGATTTAACTTTTCTTATAGCATTAATCTGAACTGATGTAGACCAAATTAAGTGTGCCTAAATAGGGATTGGTTTTTCACTCCTTTTACTAAATTACTTTTTCATGGATTTTAAGAGCAAGAGACTCCTGCAATAGTCTATTCTCACTGCCTTCATTACAATGCTGAAGCACTTGCCTGTATTTATTTCTGCTTCAAGTCTAACAGCTGCACCTGAACAAAAGCTGAACCTCTTTCAGAAAAAAAGCCAAATCTAGTGTAAAAATATTCCCACGTCTGTCCTGACTGCAGTCTCTTATATCTCTTACAGACTGTTACCATGCCATCCCTACAGTCTTTTACCAGGTATTCCAGAGCTCCCTGTGTCTCTCATTGCAAGTATGTCGTTTTAAATCTTCCATTTTTCTTATGATGCTTCTCTGATTCCGCTTCACTTTGCGGCAGATTTGCCTCTTCTGAAATACACTGTTACTCCGTGTTCACCTGACCAGGAGCTGAATCAGCTCTGTACCAACACCTACCTCCAACTTCAGTCCTCATTCTTCAACAGCAAAGGTTTTATGCCGACAGTTCAGGTTCAGGATCCCACTCTTGTTGGGCTGCACTACATACATTAATAACCATTTTCTAGTGATTTCTGATGTAGAGTTAGATTTGATGCCAGTGAATCAATTTTCAATCCACTTAGTGTCTGCTGGGTTGGTTGTATACAGTTTACTCAGCAAGAGGTTTTATGGTAACAACCCAGATGCCTTAGAAAAGTTTAAGTATGTTATGGTGTCACTGTCACCTTCTCAACTGAATTCCAACCTGCATTCAGTAAAATGCTATATAAGAGATGGATGGTCCTGTATGTCCCTGTAATGTCCCATCATCTGCTTCATGATCTCAACAGGATTCAGGGTCGGGTGCCTTGCCCAGTCCATTCCCTTCAGCCTCTTTCATACACTCAGACAAAACTAGTTTCTTTCCAACTTCTGTGATTTCAATGTTATTTCAAAATTGTTTTAAATACCCATTTAAGGGTGTTCCTTGAGCAGCTTTTTGAAAATTCTTCAAGGCTTTCGTAGAAAACATATTTTCCTCAATCACCTTCTGAGTGAAAAGCATTTCAACAGCACTGTAGCTGTGTAATATCTATTTCCTTCTCAGTCCTCAAGCTGCAGTCTTGTAGAAAACATTTACCTGAAGCCAGTGTGACCCTGCACATGGAGACCTATCTCTTTTCCGCAACCCCCAGTTCTTTTCTGATCAATTATCTCTCTCTCCACCTGCTTTTGTATTTTGGAATTCCTATTCTTCTTTCTTCAGGTTTGCTAAGTCAGTTACTCTGAAGTACCAAGGTGGAGAGCAGGCTGCTGCAATGAACTCCAGAATCACAGAGGGTACACCCCTGTCTAGAAATGAGCTACGTTTTTTGGTAACAGGTCACTGAAGATGGCTATATCTGTAAGTATTCTAAACAAGTGTAATTTGAAACATTCTTTGGTATTACAGAACAGGACATGTCCAGATGGGACATAATATGTCAAGTCCTTAAGTTAAAATACTTGAATCCCATTTAAAATGTGGCATTTGCCAACAGCATTTACACCATTTGGGCTGATGTCCTCCACATTTAGACCAGGGCTGTGGAGTGTCACGGACAGGCGCTCTTAAACACTTCTTTAAACCTCCACGGTGTAGCAAACAATTTTCAACGGACACATGCATGTAAGCCCTGTCTTCCTAAAAGACAGATGAGCTATGTACAGTCAATCCACAGAACACCAAAACGGCAACAACCCTTGAGGAAAGTTCAACTTTCATCCCTCCTCCACTTGCTCCCTGTGGATGCAGGCAGGGAACACAGGAGAAACACAACTTACCTTTCCCGGGGCAAAGGCTTGGGCTCTGGCCGAATAGCTGCCATGGAAGAGAGGGGTGGCCTGGCAGGTGAAGGGATGGAAAAATTCAAATCCAAGGAGCCTGTTTTCCTGTGCAGAGGCTCCAGCCCCATGGCTCCTTGCATTTCACTCTCGATAGGGCATGAGCCGGCTCTGCCGTGACTGGAGAGAGAGGACAGCTCAGGCCCCATTGCTCCTTGCAGAACTCCTTCAATGGCTGTCTGGGGGTCGTGTGTGGGGGACACAGATGGTGGGGAGCGTGACTTCTTTTTTGTTGATGCTCCTGCTAGAAGTTTCAACAGCCCACTCTTCTTCTCCTTCTGCAAAGGAACCAAACAAAACATGGGCAGTGAGCAGACATACCAACTCCCTTTGCTTTTGTTTTGGAAAACCTCAATGTGTGAGGCAGGAAATCTTTCCAAACTGCCACAGAGGTGGATCTAGGTAGAACTTGAACTTTTTATAATAAAGGTCCCATGAAAATCCCTCCCTATTGAAAAGGGCTTCAACTTATTCAGTAGAGTAAGGACCAAACATACTGCAAAGATTATCCCTATTTTCAAATCTATCCAGGCAGTGATCATGTGCCTTTTGAAAGAAAGAGTGCAGCTACACTGGTACAGCAAAGATACAAACTTCCCATGCAGAGAAGACAGCAAGCAGAGTGCTGCCCTCTCTCTTCAAGAAGAATCCTGTCCCTCAATAGAGATACATCCCACAAGTAAGAAATCAGAACCTATGGCTAAAAACCTCTGCAGGGAAGCACAATGGGCTGAGGAGAGATTTCAGATCCTAGCGCACTGCAAGAGAAGCATTCATCATTACTGCCTCTTTTACTACCTGATGCAGATTTACAGTAGGGAGAATGGAGGCAGAGAATCTGGTTTAACAGCTCTTTCCAGAACATGCTCCCCTTTACATCCTGAATCACATAGCAATAACTATTCGTGTCTCCCTCCCAGAAGTGGGTCACTTCCCCTCATGAGTTGAAGGTAAAGGTATCACCTTGATGTTTGAAGACAGACCACAGAATTCATAATTGGCAATTGCAGTGGCAGTGCATGGGAGGTTTCAAAATTCGACAAGGGTTTCTGACACAGAGAAATGAAAAGATGGTAACAGCTCCCTTTCAATTAATGGGAAAAAAAAGCATAGCCTGCGTTCCTGAGGAAACACATTTAACCTTTTGGATTTTATAACAGCGCGAGAAATCCTCAAGCGCACACAAATACCAAATACTACGTCCTTCATCTTGAAAGCTTTTTGGCTAGATGTTTGTGTATAGAAACTGGCCATCCGCTGGTACATGCTCCACAACACTAGGTTAGAGGTGCAAACAGCAATGCTGTGCAGTAAATTTTTCCATTTTAAAAAAATAATACAAGAAGTTTTGCAAAGGTCTATTAGATTTCTTCCTCTTTTGTCAGAAGTGCAAGCCATTACCCAAACTATCTTCAGAGGCTCAGGGCTGTGAAGTTCAGCTCTATTTGATAATTTGTTCAATAATAGGATCCCACGGGATAAAATCAAACCCAGAAATGGGAAGACTTATGGAACAGAAACTCTCTCTATATACTCAAGTAGAAACACTAGTTGGAAATACAAACCAGTAATTTATTTAGTCTCTGTAGACAAAATGTCCCATACAAGGTTTAAAATTATGCTCTTTTATGTTCTGACTGCTGAAGTAATTTCTCAAGGCAGCTTTAAAGAACAGAAAGGCTACAATAAAATAAATACAATCTTTTAGAAGACGCTTGAATTTACTACAGTAAATGTACTTGGAGTATCTGGTATTTCTGCTTCCAAAGTTCCTGTTTGCACTCTTTAACTGTCATGGACTGGTAAGAAAACAGAAATACCTTAGATATCAAGACAGAGAAGAGATAAAATGAAGCACAGTTGTTGTCACAGAGCCAAAGTCCACTGATTTTTGAAGAGTGAAGTCTGAACTGGTTATGTTTTAAAAGAATGTTTTGCACTTGCAGGATGAAAGAATCCATCCTGTCAAGATGTTCACCCAGGCAGAATCCATGGAAGCTAAGAGAGGCTGGCTATATGGCACCACCAGGTAAAAAAATTAACTCAGTTCCCCTGGAAACAATAGAAAAGCAGACCAAACGCCCCTGATAAATATGTCCTTTCCCTGAGGGGAAGAAACTGTATGGAAAAAAATGTGCATTCTGGAATTCACCTGAAACACCAGAAAAAATGCTTCAGCTTTTTTCAAACTGTCTAATTAAGAAATATTGTTGCTGTCATCATTATATAACATTTTAAAGCTCCTCATGAAGTTGCAAAACTCTTTTTTCCCTGTGGCACACTGAAACAATAGCTCTAATGATCCCAGCATCCTGTGTCAATATGCATTTGAAGGTGCCCAAAGGTCAGTGACAGAATACAATAGCCATTGTGGGGCTCTGGGAAACGACTATTGTGCCGCAGTGAGCACTTTGAGCCTCTTTAATTGGCAGTCTTGCAAATGCAAAATAACTATGTGAACTAAAGCCCTATATAACGAACAATTAATATTCCTATGTGGTAGCTTCTAATTTAAATACCTTGGCAAATTTTCATTAGAAAAACCTTTTGCAACTTAGATCGTTTAAGGCACGGAAGCAAAAATATTTGGAATGAAGGAGGTGCCTATCCTCACACCCATCTGCACATTATAAAGCAGATAAGTCTGACAGTCATACAGCTTTGTTTACAAGAACGGCTTCCACTCTACAGCGTTAGCCCTGGCATAAATTTCTACTCTTAAGCTACTATCCCTTAGAAAACGGAACTATAATGAACTTGCTGATCTGTCCTTTGTTCTACTTCAATAAAAGGAAAAACAAAGAATTGATTTTTAGCCCCTGCTGAGCAATTTACTAAACTTTTGAAACTAAGATCTGTGGTCTTGATGAGAGAAGATGACTTAATTCAATTGCTATGCCTAGTCAAAACCTGAGTCCTTCAAGTCCTGGCCTTGAGTGAGATACTTAGAGGTGACCTGATACCAAGCACGTTGTGTTTGTGGAGATTAGACAATATGTCCAGCCTCTTCTCCCTTTGAGTCTGGCTCTCAGCCTTCTGGTATCACACAGCTAGACCCTCTGCTGACGCTGCTCAGAGCATTGCAAGCAAAAGAGGGATTGTCAGGCACTGGTAATTTACTGTGATGTCTCTCATGAGAAACAGATTGGGTTTGAACCTTCTGTGATCAGCAGTTCAATGAAACCACTACATACCTTCCTCTGTCTGTAAAATGGCACTAAGTTGATACTCCTCCTTGTGTTGTGGGAATTCCTTAATGACTCTAGTGTTACAAAGCTCTACATTTCTTTGGGAGCAACCAGCCCTTTTCCATGGCTTTAAGATATAAAAAAAAAATAAAAAAAAGGGAATGGGATATTATTATGCAGTCCCAGTAGTGATTTATTGCAAATGTCCAAGTATTATGAATTCATTTAATATTTAGTGTAATAGCAGCCATCCTTCACAAGAAATTAATATTTATATGTCTATTCAAGACAGTCCTTCAGCAGTTTCACTGTAAATCAATGAAGCATTAATGGGCATAAATGCTGTAGAGAAATCTACACCAATTGTTACAGACTGTGTTGGTTTTGAAAAGAGATAAGAAGTTTACAGGGGACATATCTGATGACTTTCAGAAATGTTTTTGAATTTAAGAAAAGATAGTTTACTTCTTTTTTTCCATTCACAGATGGTTGTTTTATTGTTTTCTAGGAAATCTGTAATCTACCAAAACAGCTGTGTAATTATTGAGTTTTCTTTGTCTAGTAGCTACATTTCCAATTGACTGCAAACTGTGTTTGACATCCCTATCTCCTGAATCTGCCAAGGTCAGACCTTCGCATCTGTGTTGATGGATGGATTCACAGTGTGGACAGCACTTCTCCCATCTCCTGGTAACTGCCCACATGTTTATATGAATTTAAATCATCACCTTTGTGTTGCCCAGGTTTTATTCTAGGACGTTCAGAGTCAAAACTTCCAAACCATTAATTTCAAAAGAATTCAAAGTAAAGCAAAAGAACAAAATTAGCCCTTACAGATAAATTCCAGGCTGATTCTAGTTAAGGAAAAAAACACAAAAACGGTCTGGGAACATAGACAGTATAGACAAGTCAGAATTTTTTCTCTGGCACAGCTGACAGTGGAGGCTCTGTTCCTATGGTGTAGCATGAAGGAACCTCAGAGGAAATCAGTCTCTAGGAGCACAAGGATGGGACGGGCAGCACTTCTGTGACCCTGCAGTGTATCCTTAGGGAAGCTAGCACTTGGACAGGTGCAAGTTCCTCTTGATAAGCCACTGTGAGAATGTTTGGAAAAGTGAATACTGAAGAACTCACGAAGGGTTAGATCAAAATTAAAATCTGAGATATGTAAATGTTGAAATATTTTGCTTCACAGTAATTGGGGATGATTTTTCCCCTCATTAATAACTCACTTGAAGATAATAACTAGCTCTTCTTTCAGCCTCAGAGATGAGATGAGCTTGGAGAGCAGCTACTTCATTGATGACTGAGTGATAACAGAGTCCCCTGTCTGCAAAGCAATAATCATGCCATAATCTAAATACCAATTACATGTACTGGCTATATTAATACAGATGTATTTTTTAAACCACCCAAATACACAGAACATTCTGGTTTAGTTTTGTCTTCCTCTGCAGCTCCTAATACTTAATTTTCCACCTATCCAGGTTCATTAAACAAATGAGGAAACCTTACTGTAGCTGATAGAAAAGCTTCTCCAGTCATTGAAATGAGGTAATTTCTCATGCAACACCAGTTTCATCAATAGATAAGAGAGCCAGAGGGAGAAGAAGAGGTTTCATTTAAAAACGAAGAAAAAAGAAACAAAACTGCTTAAATGCTGCCCTGAGCCCTACGAGGGCTCAAATGCCCTCACAAATCAGGAACTCATCTATCAGTCAGTACCCCCAAAACACCACTTTTATTGCTTGTTTAACTTGGTCAGTGCCTGTTTGAGTAAATATAAGTTAGTGGCTGGAGAACAGTGCATTTTTATTCTGATTCCAACATGGCTTCTGGTGATTGATGAAACAGTAGGTCATATTTTGGATTATGTGTCTGAGGAAAAAACGCTATCTAGTTTTTTAAAATCTGTAAAATTATTTTACTTGAGATTTTGATAATCATTCAAAAAGCCCTGCCAAAACCCCCCAAACCCATATAATCTCAAAGGGAAGCTTCAGGTCTGGAATATCTTTGGATATGTATATATCATGTGAAATTTGCCACTATCTCTCATGAGGCATTGATGACATACTGACAAGACAACG